TTACTGGTACATGTCAATGTGTTATCATGCATGGTGGGTTACTGGTACATGTCAATGTGTCATCTTGCATGGTGCGTTACTGGTACATGTCAATGTGTCATCATGCATGGTGCATTACTGGTACATGTCAATGTGCCATCATGCATGGTGTGTTACTGGTACATGTCAATGTGTCATGCATGGTGCGTTACTGGTACATGTCAATGTGTCATGCATGGTGCGTTACTGGTACATGTCAATGTGTCATGCATGCATGGTGCGTTACTGGTACATGTCAATGTGTCATCATGCATGGTGGGTTACTGGTACATGTCAATGTGTCATCACGCATGGTGGGTTACTGGTACATGTTAATGTGTTATGCATGGTGGGTTACTGGTACATGTCAATGTGTCATCACGCATGGTGGGTTACTGGTACATGTTAATGTGTCATGCATGGTGCGTTACTTGTACATGTCAATGTGTCATGGATGGTGGGTTACTGGTACATGTCAATGTGTCATGCATGGTGGGTTACTGGTACATGTCAATGTGTCATCATGCATGGTGCGTTACTGGTACATGTTAATGTGTCATTATGCATGGTGGGTTACTGGTACATGTCAATGTGTCATGCATGGTGCGTTACTGGTACATGTCAATGTGTCATGGATGGTGGGTTACTGGTACATGTCAGTGTGTTATGCATGGTGGGTTACTGGTACATGTCAATGTGTCATGCATGGTGTGTTACTGGTACATGTCAATGTGTTATGCATGGTGGGTTACTGGTACATGTCAATGTGTCATGCATGGTGTGTTACTGGTACATGTCAATGTGTCATCATGGTTGGTGCGTTACTGGTACATGTCAATGGAAATGTCTGGACTGTAAATAATGAACAATATTTGAGTGAATAATATTGATGGCAATAATACAATTCTGTACTGTCTCGGCATAATCTAGTTTTGTTGACATTTGCATGTACTTTGTCAAAGAAAAAGATGTCAACTGCACATTTAGCTGAATTATTAATTTTTAAAACAGATATAAATATAATTCATGAATATGCAATATATATTTTGATTAATTGTCCATTAGTATGTGTCTCTGTAAAATTCTTTTTTACCTATATACCTATATATTTGTACATACATATGTATGTTATATTTTGATGTCTTTCTAATGTGGTATAGGGTTCATATACATGTATGCGTTTCCCACCAACTTGATTTTGAAAATGTTGGTGGTAGTATTGTAATATAATCAGTAAAGTGTTGATTATACCACTCTGTTTTGACTAGTTCAACTGCAAATCACTCACATGTCATTATTCTTCATTTTTATTCCTTTGGGAGTGGTTATAACGTGATGTAAACCTGACCATCAGATAAAATGTTTGAGTCATTAGTAAGTTTCTTTCCAGTTTCAAAATGTCATCAGTACTAAGTGGATTATCTTTGTACATTTTTTGTACATTGCATGTCATAGCGACGCACATGATAATTCGAGCTGCCTCAGTGACTGCATCTCTCCCCAATGCCGTACATGTTTTGAATTATAATATTATGCACTGCCTATTATTGAAACGCTGCTTTCTCATCAATACGATTTCATAGTATTGTAATTGAAATAAAAGACTTCACACTTTCCATCAGTGCGTGATGTCTTGATCAACATTGTTTGCCTAAATAATGGGCTTGACTGTCTCGCCCATTATTATGTACATTCTCATAATTTTCCTTTAATGGATGGTGATTGTCTTTTATTCCTATTATTTTAATGACCAATTTAGAATTGTTATTTTTGAATAAATTTTTGTAACATCTGTCCACAGACTCCCATGATCAGCTAGCTGTGCGTTATTTTCACCAAGATGAAGACATTATGGAAGTTTGTCATTGCTCTGCTATTTTTCTGGTTTGTCATACTTCTCTATCTTGGCGGTGCAATCGGACCTAATACGGAAATTAAACTATCCAGCAGGGATTTAAACAAAATGATCAGTGAAATCGAACTCATGAAAGACCAAAATGAAAAACTTCGAAAACAGGCAAATGAACTTAGGTAAGTACATTCTCCATTACTAATTGCTGTGTCTTTTAGGTTGACATATGTATTGATTATTTTCTGTTCATCAGAACATTCTGGCAATTTTCTGTTCACTCCATGATTGTGCATAATGCGTGAAAGCTGCGATTTGAAGTTGAATTGTTTTTTATAGTTCAATGTCAAATTTTCCTGTCTTTGAAAGAGGAATATGAAGTTGAAATATCTGACTTCATCAAATTTGACCATAATCAAATGTGTATAGCATTATTACAAATGTATTAATTAAGCAGGGAAATAACCAAAAAATAGTTTTGTGTTTGCTGATTCCCATGCGATATTCTGACTCCACTGTGACCTTTGTTTGTCTTGTTTTATTTCATACATATCGCAGGATCTCTAAATGAACAGAAAATGGTCTATACAAACATGTAACATGTAATCTAGTAATTGTTGTGCAATTACTGGGAATTGATGTCATCTCATTATATATTGATACATGACAACTCTGGTGGAAAACTATTATATATTCATTAAATCTTGTGAAAAACTGCCACAAATGGTGACATAATCATAAAATCATTTGCCTCTTTTCATATCACATACTCAGTAGCATACTCATAACTCCAACTTGATCCAAAAATCTGTTTTCCCTTTCATCACCAGGACAACTTTTTATTTTTTTGTATTTACAGACTTCAGCATTTCCAATTCTTCTAATCTTAAAGTGCCTGTAAATGGCTGCTATTTTCTCGCCTAAAATCATTCTTTGGTACATCAACATTATTAGTTTTTATGTTTCTAAGCATAAAATATTTAATTAATCTTAATTAAGATTCTGTTAATTCATGCATGGATTTAATTTCACAAAAGTGGCATGTAGCTATGTTAACATGTAGTGTGTTATGTTTATGTTGAATCTTGGTGACGTGCACAGAATGAATTTGAATGTGGTAATGATATCTACGTCTATGCTGTACAGTGTTCAATAGAAGGATTCTTCAACATTATTTTGATTATTAACATGAAGGCATATATGAGGCATACCGATTTGTTAATAATTTAACTGCTATATCGGTTGTCATTTACATATGTACATGTTTAACCACATTTCATTGTTTTTGAATAGTAAAAACTGTTTCAGCCATTTGTCTTTTCTGGGCAATGTCTACATTTCATGACTACTGGGGTCATTATGTCATGCCATGAGGAAATGCTTCGCACTTGTGTGACATCGCACATATGAATTGTGTACAACATGCTTGCAAATGTCATGCAATAATATTGACGCTACAAACCCTCTCAGACTCCAGTTAACAGATGTTATTGCAACAGGGATTTTGTTTTTACGGAGTCCATACTGTACGATATGTAGGTATCAGTGTTGCGTTGTGACATCCAAATGCGTGCCATGCTGATCATGTTACCTGAACATGGAGAATCAGATTCACCAGTCTGTTGTCACATCCTGGTATCATTTGATCTTAATCCATAAAGGTATCTTGTCACCTGATATCATTTGTTCTCAATTCATAGGGAGATTGCCTTATTACGAGGGGATTCAGAAATGAGTAAAGATGAAACAGTCAAGTTTATGCAACAACAGTTGGAGAGTGCACAAAATCAAATTGCTGATTTATCTCAAGCTGTTGGTGAGTAACCACCATTGAACCCATTATGATGTACCGTAGTATTATGAGGTTATTGCGAGAATACCTCAAAGTATGCATGAAGAC